ACACAAAAGCAGTCACTTTGATGTCAACATATGCTGGACCAGAGCCTTTGGGAAAAGCCCGCCACTGGGACAAGTCCAAAAAAGAGTACATCAACATTGATCAGCCAAACATCATCAAGGAGTACAACGCTTCCCGTCGCTGGTATATGATACTTTTCTGGCATTTTTTGTCTGTTGCGGTGATCAACGCATGGCTTCTTTACCAGCGTGACTGTGAGGCCCAGGGAATCCCAACATCGAAAGTATTCAAACTTCGCAAGTTTCAAGGTTTGGTTGCTGAAGGCTTGGTTCAAGTTGGAACAGCAAGAAGTCGGGGTAGGCCAACAACTTCTGGCCTCTCATCCCCGCCACCACAAAAATTTGTTCAAATTTACAAGAGTGCAGATGTTCGTTTCGACCAAATCGCCCATTGGCCTGTCAAGGAGGAAAATCGCCGTCGATGTGCTGTGTGCAAGGACCACAAAACTGAAATGCACTGTGAAAAAAGTGCTATTCCACTCTGCATCAACAAAAAAAGAAATTGCTTCAAAGACTACCACAATGTCTAGTGTGAATTCATGGATAAGAAAATGCCTGTGGTTTGGGGGTTTTTTTCACCACAAAAATTAGTTTGAGTTTACAAGAGTGCAGATGTTCGTTTCGACCAAATCGCCCATTGGCCTGTCAAGAAGGAACATTGCCATCATTGAACTGTGTGCAAGGACCTCAAAACTGATTTGCAGTGACTGAAAACTGTGCCTTGTGTTCTTTTGTTTCAAACTGAATCCAGTTCTGACATGCAACAAATAAAGAAAAAAAAAAAAACCTTGTTAAATGTAGCTGTGTGGTTGATTTATTTACCTAACTTTAAAATAGTTTACATTGATAGTGTTTGTTATTGTGATTTTTTAAAATGATATGCCTAAAGCCCAATGGGTCAAATTTGACCCAAATCCTAAATCAAGGAATAAAGGGTTAATATTGAAAAAGTGGATATTTTGGTGTTCAGTGAACTTATATAAGTCATTTAATGCGTAGTTCATAATTTTCCAAAGAAGACAATGGTTCT